ATGCTGGCTTGATGGGGCTTCCACTTTACAGGGTTGGACTGATATTGGAGCAACTGGTATACAGGACAACTTGAGTATCAAAATAAACAAAGAGATAAGAGATTATATCCTATCAAGTAAAATGGTAATCTAGAAGTCCTCACTGATATAAATGAATATATACCCAAATGCCCATTAATGACAGTCTGGATAAAGAAAATGTGGCACATATACACCATGGAGTACTATGCAGCCATAAAAAAGGATGAGATCATGTCCTTTACAGGGACATGGATGAAGCTGGAAACCATCATTCTCAGCAAACTGACATAAGAACAGAAAACCAAACACCGCATGTTCTCACTCATAAGTGGGTGTTGAACAATGAGAACACATGGACACAGGGAGGGGAACATCACACACTGGGGCCTGTCAGGGGGAGGGAAGGCTAAGGGAGGGATAGCAGCGGGTAGGGGGATTGGGGAGGGATCACATTAAGAGAAATACCTAATGTAGATGATGGAGGAGATGGATGCAGCAAACCACCATGGCACGTGTATACCTATGTAACAAACCTGCACAATCTGCAGATATACCCCAGAATTTAAAGTATAATAAAAAATAAAAAAGAAATTTTCATTACAACTCTAAAAAATAAATATATAAAGACACAGAAGGGAAAGTGCTTTCTCATAATAAAATTCCCACTTAGAAATTGAAGAAATAATAGTATCAGCCCCAACTCATCTCCCTGCAAAATAATTACTAATTAGAAAAGGAACAGGGGTAATTTTATGGAACAGAATTGTAGACGTCATGTTGCCCAAGTGATCAAAGTCAACATCAGCAGTGATGGAACAGATTGCTGTCTGATGGAGTACGATGAGCAACATCATGTGTCATAAGAAACATAACGAGAAGAACACACCACCACTTCTGTGATCTTTCTGCCCAAAATGCATAACCCAAATCTGTTAAGGAGGACACTGTGCACCAACCCAAACTGAGGGGACATTTTACAAAATAATTGAGAGACTGAGGAACAGCTCTAGATTGGAGATGATGAAACATGCTATGTAAAGGCAACACACCTGATCCTTTTGCTATCAAGGACATTAGGACAGTTGGCTAAACATGAATGGGGTCTCTGGAGTAAAGAGAAGCAGGTATTTTTTGTACTGTTCTTGTAACGTATCTGTCTGTTGAAATTAGTTCCAAATATTTTAACAAGAAAAAAAGATGATAGACAGACAGATCAAATCAATGGTTATCCCATACTCCTGATATGAATGTGTATTGCTTTTTATAATAACAAAGAAAAACAGATTAAAAAAATTTTCCCAAGAAAATAATTATATGTAATAGAAATCATCTTTTTTAAAAAAATTTTATCTTAAGATCAGGGGCACATGTGGAAGATGTGCAGGTTTGTTCCATAGGTAAACTTGTGTCATGGGGGTTTGTTTTACAGAGTATTTCATCACCCAGGTATTAAGCCTAGTATCCTTTATTTTCCCTGATCCTCTCCCTCCTCCTACCCTCCACCTTCAATAGGCCCCAGTGTGTATTGTTCCCCTCTATGTGTCCATGTGTTGTCATCATTTAGCTCCCAGTTATAAGTGAGAAAATATGGCATTTGGTTTTCTGTTCCTGTTGGTTTTCTAAGGATAATGGCCTCCAGCTCCATCTATGTCCCTGCAAAGGACATGATCTCATTCTTTTTTATGGCTGCATAGTATTCCATAATATATATCTGCCACATTTTCTTTATCCAGTCTGTCATTAATGAAAATTTGGGTTGATTCCATGTCTTTGTTATTGTGAATAGTGCTATAATGAACATATGCATGCATGTGTCTTTATAACAGAACAATTCATATTCTTTTAGGTATGTACCCAGTAATGGGATTGCTGGGTCGAATGGTATTTCAAAAACAGATAAATTTATTTATTTTTTATTTATTTTTTTTTTGAGATGGAGTCTTGCTCTGTCACCCAGGCTGGAGTGCAGTGGTGTGATCTTGGCTCACTGCAACCTCCGCCTCCCGGGTTCAAGCAATTCTCCTGCATCAGCCTCCCGAGTAGCTGGGACTATAGGCACGTGCCACCATGCCCAGCTAATTTTTTGTATTTTTAGTACAGATGGGGTTTCATGGTGTTGGCCAGGATGGTCTCAATCTCCTGACCTCATGATCCACCTGCCTCAGCCTCCCAAGGTGCTGGGATTACAGGCATGAGCCACTATGCTCGGCCAAAAATTTTTAACATGAGCATATATTGCATTTGTATCTACCCTTGTCTTTAGTTAGTTGAGAGTTGACAAAAAGAATATTTTCAAATCTCTTTGGACATTTATAATTTGCATAAACTGTAAATATTGAGACAATGTATGCATATAATTCTCAATTACTGAGGCTTTTCCTCTAATACATCTCCATCTCATTCAATGTGAAATGTACTTCAGACCTTACGCTCTTGCCTAATTGCTCTTGGAAGTGAATGCAGGCACTGGGGGGGTAGGACAGTCTACCCATGGCTGCCAACTCAGCACCCTGACCAATGGAAGAGGCAAACCCATAGCTGTGGCTTTGTCATTTCATTGTTCTGACAATAGACAGTCAACCTGGGTCACTTGAAGGTACTATAAGTATTCCATTCAAAAATAAAAACAAGATTTAAATGGCAACTTGCAATTAGAAGAGTTAACTTAGGTTATCAACACAAATGTTTTCATTATTTCTAAAACTTGCCTCCAAGTCAGCTGTGGTGATCCTGAATTTCTAGTAACTTTCTGTTACTTATCAATTCCATTAGACTCAACTCCTATACACAACATGGATAAATCTCACAAACCTCATGTTGAGTGAAAGAAGCCAGAGACAAAAGAACACATACTGTGTGATTTGGTTTCTAAAAGCAGCAGTCCCCGACCTTTTTGCCACCAGGGACTGGTTTCATGGAAGACAACTTTTCCACAGACCAGCGTGGGAGGAGGTGGTAGTAGTTTCAGGATGAAACTGTTCCACCTCAGATCATCAGGCATTAGACTCTCATAAATAGAGTGCAATCTAGGTCCCTCGCATGTGCAGTTCACAATAGGGCTTGCACTCTTATGAGAATCTAATGCCACCACTGATCTGACAGGAAGCGGGGCTCAGGCAGTAATGTTCCCTAACCTGCCACTCGCCTCCTGCTGTGTGGCCCAGT